TGATGATGATGATGATGATGATGATGATGATGATGATGATGATGATGATGATGATGATGATGATGATGGCGACGGTGGTGGTGGTGTTGATGATGATGGTTGTGGTGGTGATGATGGTGATGGAGGGAAGGAGAAGCTACCCGCACAGCCTCTGAACCCCACCTCACGTCCGGTCGGACGGATTGCGGCCGATGCTGCACAAGTCTGCCTCACTATAAACCAGTTCTCGGGTAAGTCAACGTTGCCGCGCCCACCATCCCGTAGGGCATTTAGTGGGCGTCGCTGTCTGCGGTGGTCGGACTTTCGGAGGCGGGGGGAGGGGGGCTGTGCCGGTAATTCCGATAATATCGCAATCTGTGCGATGCCCAATTTTAAGCAGATGCACGCATACAAAGGGCTCGGACCCCTTTTGGCGAATTAACCTGTTCCTATCCAGTGAAATAGCATATCCACAGATGTCGGGCAATGTTTTATGGCCTTCGGAGCATTCACAGAATGCATATTGTTATTTTTTTTCTCTGTAGGTCTCAGAGAGCCATATCAAGTGGGCTAACTACGGGTCCGGTGGAGGCCACTGAAGACGAGGAGAATGTGTACACATCGGAATTTGTTCTTGTCTAACGCGGCTTGCTGCCTCCCCTTCCCTGTTGTCTCCTGACCAACTTGCCCTCCTCCCCGGTATTCCGTTGTTTTACGTCGTTTTGGTTTTTGCTTTCCCCTTCTGTGTACAGAATTCCGTCTGATCCCCCCCCCCCTGCCTCCCGCCCTTGTGCACAGGCACTCCTCTTTGTTCTCTCGTTAGCAGCATTCTTCTCCTCCTCCTCCTCCCTCCTATCACCATTTTTTCTCCACAGCCAATCGATTTCGGCTCAGCGTAGAACCTGAAAGCCGACCCGTCTCCCTCCGAACAATCAGAAGGTGGTGGCTGTTGCATAGTCTTCAGCGCGCAGCCTCCCCGCACCAATCACATCCGTCTGCGGTGCGCCGGCGTTGGTGACGGCGCCAGTCGCGTGGACCGCCCAAGCGTGTCTCTCCCCCCCATCCCAACCCCTTCTTGTGTACAGTTTATACACTCAGTTTAATTTGATATTTCGCCACCAACCCTCGTCCCTCCCCTCTGTTTCCCTACCTGAACCTGGTAATTTAATTAACCTTGATCCAAGTGTCTTCACGCAACGTGATATAATACTGCTGCATACGAAGTACTCTTACGGTCGGCGTTAACTTCTAGAGTTCCGCTGCGACCTCGCTGGCCGTGTGCTCTTGATTTTCACGTGACTGTTTCACGTCTGACTTAGGTGACCTCAACTATGGGGCCTATAGGCAGGGGCGAAGATCTTGAGAACTTAGCCCAGTTCTCTTATCCGGCAGCGAGGATCCACTACCGGAGGTCCAGGAACCACATGGATGTATTGACAACTTGTGCCAAATAAGGTTTGGGGCTGACCTCTTTGTTGCGTCTTCGGAAACATTTTCAGTAAGGCTTCTGTACTGAACTCGTCCGGCCGGTAATGAAAACCGTGTCCCAAGCCACCTTTTGGATGGCTTAGGCTAGCCACCCCCGCGCGAGGCTGTCACAGCGAGAGGGGCAGTCTCATGCTCGCCGTTGTGCAGCGTAAGTTATGGCGATTGGGTCTATAGGTCGAACGCTTCCCTGCGAATAGCACCGGTGTGGTCCTTACTCTGTACGTTTGACAGAAGCATTTCCTCTAGGTACTTGGAATCACCCACCTCCCCCACTTTAGGGGGCGCCAGTCTGTAGGGAGGGGGGCCGTCTTCCGGTCAGAGGTGCAGCTCGAAAATTGGGTTTTTGCAGCACTGGTGAATACACTGAGGCGCAGTTCAGCGCACTTTGCCGTTATCAGGACGACATCGTCGGCGTGGTTGAGGCTGGTTGGCCATCGTCCCGATGCGGACTCTATACCGCCGCGGCAAAAAACCCACAAACACACCTACTGAACAAACATCAGTACGTAGGGTAGCTGTGAAGTAAGCCTGTGGCCGCCTATTTGACCCCTGCCTTTGTTTCTATCGAAGCAGGCCTCTGTTGCATCTGCTTCACGCCCTGTCTGCATCATTCACCGCTTTTTGATGACAAGGCGAAGGCGGACTCGGAGTGGACGGTGGGTTCAGCGGTCAGAAAGGTCAATCAGCGGGTCTGTGAGTGCCACACTCTTAACTGTAACTGCATGTGCACCCGGGTGGAGGGCGGTTCTCAGTGCTCGCCTAAGAGTACTATGGAATACACATTGAGAAGGAGTCTTCGCAACCTGGTCAGCAGTTCCGCGTCGGGTCGAGTCACCCAGTCGGCAACGACTGCCAACCCGCTGCGATAGGTTTGGGCTCGTCGAATTCATTATAATGAGAACGTTAGCAAGTAGGAAATGCCTGATAGCCCCATCCCACTCTAAAATCTACGAGTTGTATGAAGCTGAACTTAACTGCTGCGGCAGAGGTCCCCTGGCTTTTACTGACTGCTGTAGAGAAAAAGGGAAGGCAATGGTCGGAATGGGTTCGCCATCGATTAGTTATACGCATCGGTGGAGCTCGAAAACATCCACTTGGTTGGAATTGAATAAGAAAGAAGTTGCGAAAAGTGTAAAGAAGTTGTGTACAAATAGGAGATACGACAAAGCGGCCACCATGGGAATGTGAAGATCGTTCAAACTAGTGGATTCCTCGTCGGGATTGCAGTCGTCCCCTCTTCCATCTCCAGTGCACTGGTTGGCTGCCTGAGGCTATCAACTAGCTGATGATGAAATTGGGCGCAGCAGGTGACGGCGTGAGTCTGTCCACGGCGTGCCAGCACACGCTGGCCTGGCGCAACCAACCCGGCTCCCGGACTACTTGTGACCGTTCTCAGGGCGTTTGAGGCGACCAGGGAAGACACACACCCTGTATCAACGTCTTCTGACAACAGAGCGCTGCCTCACCTGTTGATAGCACCCGCTTGCGTTGGCCTTTAAAGTAGTGTGTTAATGCCCGGTTTATAACTTGAAGGGCTTCCTTGGTCCCAGCTTGGTGGTTCGTATCGATTATATGTGAGAAATTGACCCTGTGAGACAATTCCTCGCAATAATATATATGGTATTAATTAAAACTATCAGTGTGCGTTTATCTTGTGTCCCCCAAATGGGCCACGTGGTAGATGCGCTGGACCAATACGGGACCATATTAGATCCTGGCAGGCGTTATTGGATTTCGCACCACAACGAAAGCCAATCTCTCGGAGTGCGGTGGCAGACCCGGTTGCCAACAGACGTCGCGCACAGTGGGACCCCTGCCGGCCTCCATTGTTGTTGTCCTTGGTCAAAGATCTGGTCATTTGCTGCGTGTACCAGGGGGTGTGGAGTGGAACGCCAAGTTGCGGGCTCGACTGTGCCATCCACCTTCTCCCTCCTCCGCCTCCGGTCTTCTTGACTATGTCTTGACACCGGGTCCAGGTGGGGAACAGAAGGAGAGAGTGCGGTAGATGCAGCGCAAGTCTACTACCACTAGAGACTAATTTACGCACAAGTCACCGCCTCTGCCCTCACCTCGTTGTGGGGCACACGGTGGACATAATCGACAACGACAGTCGAACTGTCGTGTGTTTATCTACGTGAGGCAGTAATATAATCTCAAAACTATTTTTAAACCACTTGGGACCAGCTTGGGGACCAAGTTTTTGTTTCGCGTAAGTCAGGTGAAGGAGGATGTCAGGAAACAGGCTACTTTAGAAAACGGACGATTTCTCAACTTTAAAATTCAGATTTGCAAGTCCGTGCGATTTTATGCCTTAAGAAGCCGTAATAACGTCTACATGTAAGCCTTTGTTTTCACGAACCATTACTTCCTGGGATTTTCAAATATTCCTTAAGAAACAGCGAAAGATCCCACCACCAAGCAGCTATTTTGACTTTGGAGCGTATGGTGGGATGCTTTTTTACCGTCTATTTTCTGCTAATTCTGAATATAGGAACAGGATCGGCACAGCATTAGCGGTCTGAGCGATACTTTAATACTTATATGGGCACTCAGTAGGGTATTTGGAATCGTAGAGCAAGGTCTGAAAGTAAGCGAAAATAACGAAAATGGCCATGATTTAAAGAGAAGTATGAGTTCTCTCGTCTGCGACAAAAAACTATCTTACTGTTGTTTTTGGGAGATTCGAGTAATTCTTTTGATCCAATTGTGACAAACTCGGTGCATCGGTGGGATTCGAACCCACCACAGCGAGGGCAGGGCTTGAGTACAGCCAACGCTCTAACCACTTGAGCGACGAGGCCCCGCCGGACAACGTGAGTTTAATCACGTTTGGATCAGGTTACCCGTCCAGCCTACTTTGACGTACGGAATTCACCAAATCTGATACAGTAAGCTGACTGCCGAAGCAGGATTTCCTAAGCAGCCAATATAGAATCCAGCAGACGACTACCAGGCTCCTTTAATTAACTGGTGTTGTTGGCAGATTTGAATAATTCATTTGATCTAGTTATGTAAAAGTCAGTGGGTTTGAATCCCACTAAGACTGCCGAGTTGTTCACAACTGGACCAAATGAAAATAATACCAGCAATTTTCAGGGAGAGACTAACGAACCAGACGACCTAATTTTTTCAATAATTTTGCCTTGGAGGAAGACGAGGTGTGTGGATAGTTGCCAGCAAAATATCACACAAAAACACTTTTTTAAAGTGATTACTCGTCAGAGAAGATTTTTCAACTGGCCAAGAGTGTTCCTGTTCTATCGACGACGAGGTTTCATATTTAGGTTTATAACTCTGACCCAAATGCCATCTGCATAAGAAAGAACGCCAAAGAACTTACTATTTCGATAGAGGCTCTCGAGAAGCGCCTTATTTTGAGGGTTTTGATGAGCACAAACCACGGAACCTATCTTTTCGAGCGGGCAGTTATGAGCACTGAAAACCGCAAAGTATTCACTGTGGCTAAGAAGTACAAATTAATTTAACTAAAGAAATATTCTTCCGATTCACAGAAAATCGTATGCTTACGACTACATCTGCCAATTTGATTCTTATGTTTTAATCATTAGTCGTCCTCTCAACGAACTTCTATTCCTAAGACATCTCTTCCAGCGAAAGCCTCGTTACTTTTATCAACTGCACCTAGGGCAATACAAAACCAGTAAAATTACATCGAATTCCCGTGGAAAGGTTTTAGAACCTATGAGCAAACATTACGCACTTAACTACGTGTCATACCTTAAGTAACATCAATTCGTGGAGAACGTGTACTGCAAATGTATATAGAGAACAGTCTTTTGAAAGTTACTGTGTTCATGCCATTTTACTAACTCATTTATTTACCTGGAAACGCCCTGTGATTTTTTAAATTGAGTTTACATATTGGACACGAACTGCCGCGTTTTCGGCATTTCCACTTTTCATTAAGAAAAGTGGTATTTGGGTAGGACTGTCTTAGGGCCCCAAAACAGGAACCGTCTGACTTTGAGTCAGTTTCTAGTGAAACTAGGGTTCTGTTTAAGGTCAGGGTTAGGTTAAGGATTAAGTTTAAGGCTAGATTTGAAGCTAACGGTACGGTGAGTCAGGATCGTGTTTAGGGTTAAGGTAGGGACTAGTGTTAACTGCATAATTAGGGTCTAGAGTTGGGTTAGGGTCAAGATTAGGGCCACGGTTTAGTTTTATACGAAGGTTGTTGTAATGGTTAGGACAGGGGAATGTTTTGTCCTTTCCGGACTTGTGCGCAGGTCTACTTTTATTATTTGACGAAGCATGCCTATTCCCGTACATCGGTCCTACCGTCATTTACAACGAACGAAATCGTATTTCAAACATTTCTTTCGCATTTCATCTAACTGGTGGTCTTTCATTATTGTTTCGTTCTGGTGGATGGATTTGAGCCGATTTCCGATGGACCAGAAATTTTTCGTTACTTCAGGCATAATTTATCAGTCCGGTCACATACTGTGGGGATCACGGTTGTTGAGATTGGAATGTCAGCGCCTTAAAAGGCATCACTTCCATTTGGTCATTTGACACCGGCGTACGTTTCAAGAATGCACACGCGTGTCCAGCATTGGTCAGCACAGGTAGGGCGAAAATCAATACTTCCACTGTTTGAAATTTCCGCAAAACTATCAGTTAATCGAGCGTGCCGGGAGACAACCAATGCCGCGCAACGGTAAGGCACCAAACGCGCTTTTACTCTTTCATAGCATTAACGTAAGTGTCTATAGTAGTAGTGTTTCATGCTAGAATTTAAGCCGGAAATTAATGAAATCAGATCTGCTTATGATGGACAGAATTATTAATTGCCTAGAGAGCATTTTCGCCCCTGTGTTGAGGAATTTATTTCCTCGAATCGTACCCACAGCAATATTTAGTACGCTGTCATCTGACAGGAACTCCGGACTTTCGGCTGTCCAAAGCCCCTTTTGCCCAGATTCCACATTACAATAATACTTGCTAATTATTTCGCGTGTAACATCTTTCAACTAGTCAAATGGTCCTTCCGTCAGCGTTCATTACCCAGGTGTATAAAAGATGCAGTAAAGGGCCTTGAGCACATAGCGCTTCAGGTTCTGAATGCCTTGTCTAACAGGACAAGGTTAGGAGTAAAACTTCTATAATCTGCTAATTTTCTGACGATTTATGGAATTTCGGGTCAGAAAAGACCAGTTTCAAGATCTTCAATAGTAAAAATCATGAACTGTGAGAAACGGACAGTGTGCTCCCCTCAAAATTGTTCACGATGCATGCCGCAAAAAGTATCTTAATTGCTAGGTAGAGAGACGAGCTGGAGTCCTAGAACCGCCTCTGCCAGTGAGAGTACAGACAGTTGAGAGTACACGGAAATTCTGAAGTTCACATCAAAGGAACTGGACAGCTGTGATATGTCTGTGATGGCGGCTCCCGTAATGTGACTGTTATAATATCGGGAGGAGGAGTTTGAGTAGCCTTTTTAGACTTGGTTCGCCGGCAAAATTCAGCTCCAGGTCTAGAAGACTTGCGATTCGCATCCTATCTCACCTAAGCATTGAGCTCAACGCTGTATTCTTTGTGCCACTGGCCCATGCTCCGGAGATTGCGAATGAGAATATCCTGTTGTAGTTGCAAGTAATTTGCATCCTTTTCGCCTGATGGAAACATGGAACAAAGATGCTCCTTTCTACCTTCAATGCCACCCTAGACGGTCTCATGAGAAGGAGTACTCGGTACTCTAAAATTACTACAGAGGAAGATAAGAGAGACTGGAATAATAATTTCAGGTTAACTGTCGTTGCTGGAATGACTACAGTGCGTGACTGATCTCATGAAATGTTGGCTGAAATTCTGAAATGTGTTTTCGATTAGGAAGTATTGCCTAGGCGGG